GGCGGGGCCCCCCCCCCCCCCCCCCCCTGGGATGGGTGCCATGGCCCTCGGACGAGAAGGCGCCGTGTCGGCGGCCATGAGCGGCGCAAAGGGGGGGCCCTGCTGTGCCGAGTCGGCCCTGCCTGGCAGACCTCCGCCCACCAGGATGCCAGCCTGCCCCCCCCAATGACAACCCAGGAACTCCAGCAGGCAGGCCTCCGGCCACCCCCACCCACCCCCGCCCCACCCTCGTCAAAGTCTCCGAAGCCGTCCAGGAAGAGGCGCTCGCGCATGCGGTGCCTCTCCGGGGCCTGGCTCAGGAAGGCAGACTCCTCCAGGGCCTGGGCAACCATGGCCGTGCACGCCGACACCGCCATCAGCGCCACCTGGGGGGGGGAGAGAGGGCATCGGTGCTGCGTGAATGGATGTCCGGCCTGCATGCCGTCGTGCAGCCCAGTGTGCACTGAGGGGGAATCGCCGGCAGCAGGGCCAATCAGGGAGCACTCCCCTGCCCACACGGCACCCTCACGCCGCGTCAGCCTCCCCATGCGACTCCCGGGTCCCACCAGCCGGGCTCAGGGGCCCAGCAGCGCACCACGAGGTCCGGCGAGGAGATGTGGGCGGCGCACAGGCCAAAGGCCTCGTCCCAGGGCTCGTGTCCGAGCTCCTCGCCACACACACCCACCAGCCAGAGGGCCCGCGCCTGCAGGATGTGGGCGTCCAAGCCTGGGGGGGGAGGGGCAGGGGGGCCCCCCGACTCATCAGTGTGCTCTCCGAAGCCCAAGACATGCGCTGAGATCACTGGCGACTGAAACCTGCAAAACCACATCCGGCAGCAGCACCTTGATTTGCATACGCTCACCTGCATTCGGCGTCGGCTGCAGGATGCCCCGCAGCTCCGTCTCGTACCAGTTTGGGAAATCGACCTTGGTCCGGACGTGGCTGAAGCACTCCCCCAGCGCGCGGTAGGTGGCCTCCCGCAGCAGCAGAGTTTCCCTGGTCAGCGGGGCCGTCTGTGGACATGGGTGCGGGGATTGAGGGGCAGGGGCAATGGTGAGGTGAAGAGGCAAGGCGTCCTGGAGGACTGCGGAGCGGCGGGGGCAGTGGCGCGGACTCCTCTGCACCGCGTGACTTGAAGGCTTCCTTCCCCAAGCCTTCTCCAGGCACGCCAAAGCTCTGGGCCTGGGAAGTCTCCTCCGATCGACTTCATGAGATGGAGATCCGTCACCCTCCTTGCAGCCTGGCCCCGCCATCGAGCACACCACTTGCCCACACCCACTCACCTGCAACTGCCCCGCAGCTTCCACCAGGGCGCTGGAAACCGACTCCGTCTCGCGCTCCAGCATGCACTCCAGCAGCGCCACGCCGCAGGGCCTGGGCGTGTCTGCGTCCGGAGAAGTCTCCACATCGACCTGGCGGGCGAAGCTGGAGACAGGGGGGAAGGAGGGGAAATGTTGTCGACGGTCCGGGAACGAGCGTACACCAGCATCGCACATGGTCCCTGCATCGGCAGCAGTCACCGCACCCTTCGGCATCCGCCTGCCACTCCTCCAGCTCCTCGGAGGAGAGGGCGATGTACTTGGTCACCACAGCCTGCACAGATTGAACGCAGGCCAGGGGAATGCTTGGGGGAAAATTGTGACTATGTGACATGCAACCGCAGCGCTCAGCATGGAAAGCTGTTGCCTAGAAGGACCTGCCTTCTACCTGTATTCCCCTTCTGACTCATGCACAGCTTACCTGGACCAGGGCCGAGCACTGCCCGGGGGCAAGCAGGCCATCCAGTGCCTCCTGGGCGGCAGTGAGCGAGGGCAGGTACCGCTGCGACCGGTCGTAGGCTGATGTCAGCACTCCAAACCCTGAGTTAGAAGAGGGGAAGGGGGCAATGTGTGAGCCTGGCCGGAGTCTGGAATCAGACATGCTAGACCCAGATTTCTGTGCAGGGTCCATGGCGCAGTGCACACTGCCCGGCTCCACTCCTCCGCACAGGCTGGCAGCATCCCCAGCCTGCACCCTGCCTCCCCGCTCAAAAACCTCCCTCCCTCGCTCCCCCATCATTTGTTAACCCCTGCACGCACACGACGCAAGCGAGCTTCCCCACCTTGCGCGTGCAGGTTGATGAAGTCGGGTCGGTACATGGGCTGGATGAGCACGCGCGCCGTGAACCTCGTGAGCAGCACCCTGCTCTTGGTCCTGCGGGCGCGGGCGCGAGGGGGGAAGAGGGGGGGGTGTTGAAGCAGGGGATGCTCTCAGACGTGGGCAAGGTTTGGCGAGGTCGGCGCGTTGCTGCCCAGACATCCACGGGCCTCTGCGTTGGGAGTGTCATAGCCTTCAGCCGGCCCTCCCCCTGGCCCTCACCCCAACCCCCCCTCAGGCGCACCTAATGTGGTGCACGGCCGCCGCATCCAGGCCCAGCAGCGCGGTGGAGGCGCACAGCGTGGCCCAGGCCGGCACGTGCGCTGCGAAGGCCAGCGGATGCCGGTCCAGCCCCGCCAGCGCGCACTGGAGCAGGCGCTCCCAGGCCTTGCAGAGCAGGGCGCCGCGCGTCGCGGTCTCGCCGCCGCCGCGCCCTGCCGCCGCCTCGCCCAGGCGCGGCGCGACCTGCGCCGCGGCGGCCGCGCCCTCGCGCATCAGCGACGCGAAGGCTTCCTCCGCCCCGCCCAGCTCCTGCACCGCGCCCAGCACCTCCACCAGCACGGCCAGGCAGGCCACGGCGTGGCGCCCCGCGCCCTCCCAGCCCCCCGCCCCCGCCAGGAAGGGGCCCAGGCTGGCCTGCCACCCGGCCTGCATGCTGGGCAGCAGCGCCTTGAGCTGCGCCGCCAGCTGGCCGCGGTCTGTGTCGATCTGGGAGGTCAGCGCCGTCACCGCGTTGTCGCTCAGGGACATGAGGATGTTGGGCGTGTCGATGGCAAACCGCTTGCCTGGGGCGCGGGGCAGTTGGAAGGGAGGGGGTGGGCTTGGGCTGTGAAGGGGACTGGATTCAACCTCTCACGGCACAGGCAGCTAGGCAGGCAACAGGGTCGCAGATCTGAGAAGGGCGCCGGCCCCAGCCCACCAAGCATCTGGGGGGGACGGACACAGTCTGGTCGCCTGCGCCACGGCAGCGCCACAAGGCACACAGCGCCGTCTGCGGCGAGCAGCTGCTGTGCCGGCATGGGCGCGCAGTGCAGAGACGTTGCCCTACCACCCTCTTCACCGGGCGAGGCGTGGCATCAGCAGCCCCACACTCTCCCCTGCCGCAGCTCACCCTTGAGACCGCGGACGCAGTGCTTGAGGGCCCTGAGGGAGCGCAGCTTTGACTCCAGCGAGGTGGGGCTGTCCATGCCCGCCGAGGCTGCCAGGTCGCCGACGAGGCTGTCCCAGGGCCGCGGGACGTCAAAGCGCGCCAGGTTGCTGATGAGCAGCGCCAGCTGGACGGCCACGCGGGACGAGGGCTCGCTCAGCAGGCACGCCGTGCTGGTGGTGCGCACGTACGCCTTTTCGGCATCTGCACGCGATGTGTGTGTGGGGAGGGGGGGGAGCAAAGTGAAGTTGCGGTCAGTCGGCAGGTGGGCGAGAAGTGGTGGCAGCGGCAGTCCTGCATGTCTCATAGCCCTTGGAAGCGGCAGCATCAAGGTGCCTGGGGAGGGTTCAGAGCACTACAGGGCCAGTGAAGGTGTGGGCCAGCCGACTGCTGTCCAGCCTGGTGGGGGCCTTCCCACCTTCGCAACAAGAAGGGCGCCGGCCCCAGCCCACCAAGCATCTGGGGGGGACGGACACAGTCTGGTCGCCTGCGCCACGGCAGCGCCACAAGGCACACAGCGCCGTCTGCGGCGAGCAGCTGCTGTGCCGGCATGGGCGCGCAGTGCAGAGACGTTGCCCTACCACCCTCTTCACCGGGCGAGGCGTGGCATCAGCAGCCCCACACTCTCCCCTGCCGCAGCTCACCCTTGAGACCGCGGACGCAGTGCTTGAGGGCCCTGAGGGAGCGCAGCTTTGACTCCAGCGAGGTGGGGCTGTCCATGCCCGCCGAGGCTGCCAGGTCGCCGACGAGGCTGTCCCAGGGCCGCGGGACGTCAAAGCGCGCCAGGTTGCTGATGAGCAGCGCCAGCTGGACGGCCACGCGGGACGAGGGCTCGCTCAGCAGGCACGCCGTGCTGGTGGTGCGCACGTACGCCTTTTCGGCATCTGCACGCGATGTGTGTGTGGGGAGGGGGGGGAGCAAAGTGAAGTTGCGGTCAGTCGGCAGGTGGGCGAGAAGTGGTGGCAGCGGCAGTCCTGCATGTCTCATAGCCCTTGGAAGCGGCAGCATCAAGGTGCCTGGGGAGGGTTCAGAGCACTACAGGGCCAGTGAAGGTGTGGGCCAGCCGACTGCTGTCCAGCCTGGTGGGGGCCTTCCCACCTTCGCAACAACCTATGCCGCACCTGGCACGCGCGACCACTCCCGCGTGCCCATGATCTTGCGCCAGGAGGAGCCGACGGCGTTCTTGGCCACCACGGTGGCCATCAGGCGGGCCTCCTATTGATGCAAGCAAGGTAAGGAGTGGTGCAAGGATCTGCCAGGATGTCAAGCGGTGGAGTTCCCTAGCCCCATGCATGGGGCATGACCGCACCCTGCATGCCTCACCTCAGGCACGCTGTTCACTTCATGCACGATATTCAGCAGTGATCCGATGAAGCCGGGGGATGAATCCGCTTCCCACTCCTGCAGCAAGGCCTGGGCCTGGGTGCGAGTCGTGCCATCAGCGGACAGGGAGGCGGTGAGGGCGGAGTAGACCTCGTCAGGGGACAGAGGGCTGCGCTGCTGGGGAGGGCATCCATGCGCCACGAGAGACTGCATCGCGGAGTTCCACAGAAGGGCAGCTAAGACCGCGCACGAGGGCAGGGGCGCTAATTCATCGAGGGAAGGTGCACGCCAACCAGGATCGCGGTCGGCAGCGCCACGACGTGCTGGGGAGTACACCAGCCCTGATCACTCCTTGCAGCGCTTGGATCAGGGTTGAATGGAGCAGTCAACTTTGTTCCTTGGCATGGCCAGGAGATGGGACATGTCCAGCGTCCACGATCGACACTCACGTGCGCGCCTTCACAGGAAGGGTAGTGATATCTGCCCCTCCTTGGAGCATCTCATCACAGGGGTCCTGGAGATGCTCACAGCATGGCGAAACCTCCACCTTACGGTCAGGAGGACTCGAGGTATCAGACGCATGCTGGCAATCTCACATTTAAGTTGCCAATCATGGCAAGCATTGAGAGTGGGATGACGTGCTGAGCTGCAGAGTCCACAAGTAGGGCGGACGATTCCAGGCATGGTAGTATTTCATGGATGGACATGCAAGAGAAATGTAGAGATGGGCAGTGAAGCTCGGGCACAGTCTTACGGTCATTAGCTTATTTACATGACAATCTCCAGATGCACAGCCAGTGCAGAGTCTCCCTGCAGCTCTGGCTTGGAGGCGGCAGTCTGCCGAGATGATCTGGGCTCCAACAGGACCAGTGCTAGCAGTGGAGATCTTGGGTATTGTCCCTGGAATGGCTTGCCAGAGCTGCAGCCAGCTTGATGCTGCGATCCTTCACAGGTCTGTGCGGCTTGGGCGCTGCAAAGAGGGGAAACCGGCGAGGGAGGCATGGGATGGTGTCGGTCTCGAGCCTTCATGCATGGTGCTGGAGAAGAGGAGATGTGCGCCTGATATGTCCAACGGCTGGTGTGGCATGGGTTTTCAACACATTGCCTCCCAGATCGCACAATGGATCCCTGCAGACATCACCATGAACTCCATACCATTAGGGTTTCCAGCACTGTAGAAGCGCTGGAGTAGGAGGATGGCCTCATCCCGAAGAAGGCCACCCCTGGAGGTATAAAAGCCGCCAGTCCAGCCTGCATCACCGCAGCCACCACAGCCTGAGGTATGCACGCTGAGTATGCTGCCGTTTCCGCCAAACTTGTCATTGGGGCAGCCAAAGACCACGTCCTTGAAGCGCAGCAGGCTCAGCGCGCCAGCGCACATGATGCAGGGCTCGCAGGTGACGTACAGCGAGCAGGAAGGAAAGTCAACGGCTGCTGCATCACCGCCATGCTCCCTGATCAGAGCATCAATTGCCTCAAATTCGGCATGCCGTGTGCCCTATTTGGGAGAGGGAATGGCATGAGGCTTAGGGGGTGAAGGACCATTCAGGATGAGACAGGGGGTGGGTTGGTGAGGTGACAGGAGAATACTCTGCTCATGCACACAAGGGACAGTCTCCTTGGTCCCGAGGAAATAGTAATCACGTGCATTCGTCCTTCAAACTCCTCGAGGAAGTGCAGCGCACCCCTACGGACAACATCATCAACCAGATCCAGCCATCCCAACGCACATTCCGACTGTGATTGGTTTTATTGCTGCCTCTGGCCCTGACTGTTCCATCCTTCACGATGACGCATCTATGGATGAATGTAAGGACCTGATCATCAAGGCATCCCGCTCGCTAAGAACACTGCATCTGGGAGCCAACACACGGACGCCTTGATTCCATACTCACCCGACTGGGATCTCCTCCTCAGCCAATGCAAAGCGTGCCTGCAGATTCGATTGCGAGGGGGAGGGCAGGCTCGAGGCTGTCCCCAGGATGTGACGGGCATGAGGCACCGGCTCCCACAGAGGCAGAAGCACTGTCTAGCCCCACCTGGGCCAGGGCTTCCTGCATGAAAATGTGGTCATCAACTGTCCACCTAATGTAGGGTTTTTGAGGGGGCGGCGGGCTTCCCTGAGGCTTCCCCGGTATTGGAAGAATGAACATGCCGATCACCACCTCCGCTATGCACTTCGGTGGCCAGGAATACTCGGGTGAAGTTGGCAACCAGGCCGCGAGGCGAGGTCGACAGACCCTTGATGAACTTTGGCTGTGGCCACTCACGACTGCGGCCTCCCATGAGATCGTCGCGTCCTGTGTCGACTGGCTAGGGGACTCATTCCCACACGCAGAACGGGACCGAGCCGGGTGCGCGCGCAGAGGGAGACGTTGACGTCAGGCTCAAACAGCAGGCTTGAGCTTTATGATCGTGGTGTTTCTTATGCATGAATTAGATCCTTGCTGAAGTGCCATATCCCGGTGAAGATACCATACAGTCGGCACAGGTCCTCCTGTATGGGCTGTAGGACTTCAACATCCCCCGCCACAGAACTTGTCACCCGTCCTCAATGTCGCGTCCTGAGCTCACCTAGGGTGGCATGCAAGCGCAGTGGCTCTACATCAATATTACACAGTGTTGGCAAGCGCTACATATCTGGTGCTGCCCACTTAGGAAGCATACTGTGGGTAGTAGGACATTCTGGCGTTGCTGGGCACGGTAACAGAAGGTCTGACAAGTGAATCTTGTCTGCGCTTTGTACAGGTAGTTGTGGAACATGTTGGGAGATCGATGGGCTTTCACTCACACAAGGGCCCCAGGTCGAGTGAGTGGATCGTGCAAGTAGTTGTCAATGTCTGCTGGCTCCTTGAAAACGATCCAGAGCGCATGGATGACACCAGGAATCCAAGCCAGGAAGGTCAGGATCAAATTGATGAAGAAGTGGGTGTCAAAAGCATTTCGATTGATGAGCACCTGGCGTGAAGGGGCGCAGTGGACGGGAGTAACAACTGTGCATTCACTCGTGCGAAGTTACACGAGTGCTGGAAGATGCCGTGGCCCCATGAAAGCCTTGCATCGACTTCTAATCAGGGTTCAAGCATAGATAGGACCAGACCAGCCCCCTACCGCAGCGGGAGGGACGAAGATGGCAGCTACAACGAGGCCCACGAAGCTCGGACGAATATCGCTACGAGAATCCGCCCCCATACTCTCAGTTGAATATTGTGGAAGCTCAACAGGGGGTTCGAGATTCGACCCTCCACCTTTTCGAGGGCTTTCAAACACTGATCGCAGAACCCTCCTCCCTACAACCTGCGTGCGGCGTCCTGCTGTGAAATGGTGAAGCAGTGCGGCAGTGATCGCTCGGGCACCTTCGCCTATTGGTCTTCGAGGGATTTCAGCAATCTTGCTCTATCAATGTACCAAAAGAATTACATATTACCCACGGCCAGGTCATTACAACACTCCAGGCTCCTTCATCTTCACAGATGCGCGAGGATGGATGAGCTGCGCGAGAGGGACGGGGGGAAATGTGCTATTGCATGGTGGGCAACATCTGGGTGCAGCACAGATGCTTGGTGCGTCGGGTTTAGGTGAATTTTTGGCCCACTCCGAAACAACCCAGGTAGCTTATTTGTTTGACATTGTTTGGGGTGCTCTTCACAAGGACAACATCCAAATGCCAGGAGAGCACATGATTGACTACCACAACAGTATGACCGGAATAGGCGGGAAGGGAGGTAGCGTGGGAATACCGAGGTGCGGCTTGGGATCTACAGCTCTTGCCTGGAAGTGAGCGGATGCTTACATTGGGGACAAGGAGGGGGACAGTCTATCACTACAGATGCAGGCAGGTCCACTTGGATTGGTATGGCTACGCTTTGGCGTAGGTAATGATGCAACAGGAATGGGAAAGCATGGCAGAGGTACTGCAGGAGTTCCTGTAGCAACCATGAATCAACAGCAATCCATCAGATCTACCAGTTCAGATTCAGGGCATTCGTGGTGTCGCCACCATATGTGACTCCCACAACTTGGGCATAAGACACAAGGAGTTCCTTGTCCGCTGCAAGCTGCATGGTAAAATTGGTTGTTGAGCCGGAGTACGATCGGCCTCCCACTTCAGCCAATGCATCGTCCCCAGTGAAGAAAGCGATCGCAATGTAGTTAGGAACGACGCTTCCAAATTTGATTGAGAATGAGAAGTCGTTCCCTGATTTTTTGACGCTCCCAGTAATGGGTCCAAGTGCTGGTGGGGGGGGAGGAAAGGACATGGGGGGAGGGGAGGGCGAGTTGACGACCGTCAGCGGCACGATCTCATTAATGTTACCTGCACTCGAGAGGATGGTTGCAGAGCCAAAAACAAACTTTGGCACGATCGTCTCATACTGTGGGTCCCCCGTGATCGTAGAGACAGCAGAGGTGGGCGATGAATCAGACGTGGTCGCGAGTTTGAAGAAGACATTTGAGTACAGGTTGCAAGTGATGGAATAGGGAGTGTATCCCCCAGTGGTCACCACATAGGCGACGGGTATCTTCCCACTGGAAACAGCACCAAACTGGACTGTAGCAGATGCCCGTGGGGGTGGTGGAGGTGGGGGGCTGGGTGGAGGGGAGGGGCTGGGTGGAGGAGGAAGGCTGGGTGGAGGAGGAAGGCTGGGGCTTGTGGGCGGGGGAGGCGAAGGCCTCGCACGCGCCATCCAGCCACAATCGCCGCAATATATGCCGAAGGACTACTACCTCCGTGACATGGCACCAGAGTTTGGCCATACGATGAGGCGTGCGAGTGGCTGTGGGCCTTCCTTGGTGTCAGCACTTTCGTCGTACACAGGGCATGCACCCTGCATGGCCTAGACGTCGCACCCCGCCGTGACCACCGATCGCATCACCACCGACCTCTCCTCACTAAACCGTTGCCGTTAGAGACTGCAGCGGAAACTGTGCTGGCTATTGAGATGAAGGCTCACCCGGCCAGGTTCACTGTGTCGGCGAGATCGAGGATGCCCAGCGTCTCCCTGGCGCTTCGTGCGCAGACTCAGAGCGGGCGAACAAGTACCCTTACCATCGCCCGTGTATTTGTTTCGGCTACTCTTGATGATAGACTTCACTGACTGAGTCCTCGAAGTGTGGCACTCAGCAGGTGCTGGCCGATCCGGCCTCGAGGACGGGATGGCTGCGGCAGTAAATGTCCATCTCAAATGGACAGGTGCCTGCCCATCCGGGCCCGGCCAGCAATACCATGTTCATGTTCACACTGGCTATGAGCCACTGGTGCATGTATGTGGGCTTTGGGAGGGAGGGCTATGAGCATGAAAACTGGCTTCAAACCAAGCTGTATGCCAGCACAGGATCAGGTTACACCTCCTTACCCTCCATGTGCTGGCCTGCCCAGGCGCCCCAGCAGGACGGCAGGCCTTCAAGCCGCTTCGGCCACCGCGCCTATGGCCTGTATGAGCTGCCCCCGGGCACACAACCCAGAGCCCGTCGGCGGCTGTGCAAGCGTCCAGCCGATGAGGTATCAGCGCCTCGGGAGCCTTTCCATCCCAGTGTCGGCTCATGCAGCTCCCACCCTGCTTGTGCTGGATGCAGAGGCGGGCGGCCAGGCACATGGCTTCCCCGCGGCCAACAGCCGCGCTGCTCCCACCCAGGCTGTGCAGGGTGTGCTCCGGCTCGGGCCCTGGCTCGGAATGTGGCCACCACATGCAGCATCCTGGGGCACCTGGACCGCCTGACCATGCTATGCACCCGGATGAGGCACGGTGCCTAGCTTGCAGCTGCTGGTAGCGTGGCACAGAATCAGCTGTGGGTATGTCTTGGGTGTAAGGTCGCTGTTCATCGCACAACACAGGAGGATGCGGTCTGCAGTGCGTGGAACAGAGCGTCGCTGGCATGGGCGGCGCACCGGGCATTGCATGCAGTGATCCCTCCAGTGACGGGGAGGCCGTCAGCCCAGCACCGGCATGTCCTGGTCCTCTGGCCAGGCCGCCTGGGCCGCCGCATGCGCCGCGGCCTCGGCCGGATCCGCCTGCCACCCTGTGGGAATGGGGGGGGATCGCATGTCGGTGACCACACAGCGCCGCTCGCCTCGCGGTGCATGCTGAAGCATGCCATGCGGAGCGGCTGCGCATCCCTCTCCCAGGCTGCTGCCCCACCCGGGAGGATGGAGGAGAAGAAGCCGACCAGCACCGCCAGAGCCTCCTGCACCAGGCCCCGGGGTGCCGGCGCCTGCGGGGCCGGCCCCTCCTCTGCCGGACGCGCTGCAAAAGTCAGGGTGGGGACGGGGGTTCTGCCTCGCTACTGATACCCAGACTCAGTCTGCGCAGTCGTCTTCCCAACCAGGCGTGTTTCCCCACCTTCCAACTCTGCGGCGGGCCTGCCCGCAGCGGCGTCCCCGGGGCCGGCGACAGCGCGCGGCGACCCCGCCTCCGGCACGGGCGCCGCGGCCGGACCAGCCCGCACCCGCCCCAGCTGCGCGAGGAAGCGGCGCACCGGCTCCGTGGTGGTGAGGAAGAGGAGCAGGCCCAGGGTCAGCAGCGCGAAGAAGCGCTGGGGGGGGCAGTGCTGCAGCACGAGCACGGAAAGTGGGAACTCAGGTGTGACAGGGTGGCTGGGCGAGCTTGTGTGTGCGCATGGGGGTCCCCGACACTGGGAGGAGGGGAGAAACCTGCATGCCCGCCACGAGGACGTGTACCTCCAGGTCGCACAGCACAGCTGCAGCGCCCCGCCGCGCCAGCTGACCGCCACCCAGCGACTCCCAGGCACGGTCAACCGATTCCCCCCCCCCTCTCCCATCGCCCCACCTGGTACACGACGGCAAGCAAGACCCCAAGCTGCAGCAGCGCCCGTGCGTTCAGCTGCATGCCGTTCTGCGCCGCCCAGCGCCGGAGGCGCGCGGCGGGGTGCGGGCGCGGCGCGGCGGCGGGGCGCGGGCGGTGCCCTCGGTCCAGGCCGGGGCCCTGCAGCCGCTCCAGGTTCTCCAGCAGGGCCCGCACGTTTGGGGGAAGGTCGCCGCGCGCCTCACGCTCACGCAGCAGCTGTAGGAGCGGCAGCGCCCCGGGCGCCAGGCCGGGCCCTTGGGCCGGGGCGGCAGGCTCCGCGCCTGCGTCGGGGTGGCGGCTTGTTCGTCAGAGGGCATCCCGAGGCCTGTTCCCGGCGGGAACAGGACTCACACGGGCGACGGGGCGTGCTTCATGACCCACCGTGCCACCCACCGTGGTCGCGCTGGTGTTGTACCCTCTGGCGCAGGAAGGTGACCTGCAGGGTCGGGGCCACCGAGGCGAACAGGTTCTTCGGCATGGCCAGGGCCATCAAGGCACATCATGGAACGAGGATCCATACCAGTCGCATGAGCCTTCTTGGCTCGCATGGAGGTGCACATCGCAGCAGGAGGACCCCTCGTCGACAAACCCAGACTAGCCCCGCGTCCCCACCTGAATGTTGGGGTGCTGCACATGGCCAGCCGCATTGTTGCGCAGCATGGTCTGCGAGGGCGGCACTCATCATGAGGGATACAGATTCACGTCACAGCACCCTGATGATCCTTTGCTTGCTCTTCCCCGTCCCTCTCACACGTACACGCAGCGCCCTGCACCTCCCCCGCTTCAAACTCAAACAACCTTGCCACAAGATGGCACCCAAGCAGCCCACTGGCCCGCTCGACGCTGCCAACCTGGGCCAGGACTTGCTGCGGCGCCTGTGGCATGTGCACGGGGGCCGGAGGCCCTGCCCCTCCCTCCACGAGAGGCTGCGGGATCGGGTGGCCCAGGACCGCCAGGGCCGCAGCGTAGGCCGCCGACATGGAGGCCGAGGCCACGGCAGCCGCATTCAGGTGGAGCACCTCGGCCAGCCCCTTGATCGCGGGATGGGCGGTCTGCGGCCGGGGTCTACGTGACGATTCGGGGTCGGGCTCTGCGGGGGCTGCAGTGCCAGGCGGGGGCCGGGCTGCAGACGGCGCCGCCGCTCCAGCATGCTGCATGCGCACTGCGTCCGCAGCCCGAGGCGCTGTGGACGCCGTGGGAGCAGAGGATGAGGCGCCTGCACTCGTCCTGGCCGTGCCGTCAGTGGCCTGGCCTTGTACCACCACGTGCAGGATCTGGGGAGAGTCCGGGGTCACGTTCTGCGTGGTGTGGGTGGTAGACCGGGATAAGGCTCCTGAAGGGGGGGTCCCCATTCAGGACATGGATACATCCCGCAAGCCTATCTACTGACCGGCTTCAGGAAGGATGACAGCGCTTCAGCATCGTTCTTGAGGACCTTCCCCGCGTAAATCAACTGAGTTGAGTGGGTGGGGTCATGCCCTGAGCGTCCCTGATGGGCGGTGCCTGCTGATCACGACATCCCCTGTGGCCTGCACTCACAATTAGCTGGGAGGTCGAAGGGGAGCCCGGGTAGGCGTCCCGGATGCTTGCCTTCAAACCCGCGACGTCTCCGTCCAATGGCACGGTGACAGACACCTCCTGTGTCATCGCGGGGTTCTTCAGCACAAAGGTCACTCGAGGAGCGTCCGCCATGGCACCCCGAGAAGAGGCTACACCCCGTCCTCTTATGATCAAACTACTACCGAGGAGTAGGTGAATCCAGCGTAAGGTGCTGAGCGTGTCGCTGAGGTGGCGGTGTGTGTTCAAGCTGCTTGCTGTGTGAGTTCCGCGATGCGTCCAGGGCGCGGACAATCTGAAGGCAGGAGGAACACTAGATCCGGCACGCCATCGTGCCATTACCTATACCCGTTCGCAGTGTCCTTGAACACTAAAGCACTATGCAGTCAATGCAATCAGCGCCCCGGTGATCCGTCGCTTGTTTACAGATTGACAACTGCCCCGGCAGGCACGGGTCGGCCTCAGACGGGGTGAGGCCTGCCTTGGTACTTGGCGCAGGAGCGTTGAGACTCCTAAATGGCGCTCAACATCCGCCAGAAGCAGGCTGGTGAGTCATGGCAGGAGGGGAGCGATCGGGCGACTCCGCTCGAACCACAGAGTCACTCTCCTGGGCTTCCCCCACACGCTGAAGCAGCCGCTCTCACGCCCATGCAGATGCGGTGGTGCGCATGCTGCATCTCAACTCCTCGCCCCAGAGCACCGGGCGGGGCGGGGAGGATCTGTACAAGGTGCTCATCCTCGATGCAGCCACCCAGGTGGGGTGCCAGGGGCGGGGGAAGCCCTGAGGGGGAGGACCAGGTGCAGGCTACCATGGGGCACGCCTGAGCCCACTCCATCATCCCCACACCCCCACTGCCCAGGACGTGCTGGCCCCGCTGCTCCGCGTCAAGGACCTGCGCCGGCACGGCGTCACCCTGCACCTCACCCTGGACTCCAACCGCCAGCCCATCCCCGACGTCCCTGCGGTATACTTTGTGGCCCCCGGCCCGCACAGCACCGCCCGCATCGTGGCCGACCTGGCGGCCTCCCTGTATGACTCCTACCACCTCAACTTCTCCACCCAGCTGCCGCGCAAGGAGCTGGAGGCGCTGGCCGAGGGCGCGGCGCGGGAGGGCTCTGCCGCGCGCGTGGCCCGCGTGCATGACCAGTACCTGCAGTACATTGCGCTGGAGGCGGGGCTGTTCAGCCTGGGCCTGCCCGCCACCTACGTCGACCTTAACGACCCCTCCGCCCAGGACGCCCAGATCCAGGGTGCAGTCGGCCTCGTCGTGGAGCGCCTCTTCTGCGTCCTGGCCAGCACTGGTACGGTGCCCATCATCCGCTGCCCCAGGGTGAGGTGGTGTTGGAAGGTGGAACTCGTGAGAGGGAGGAGGGTGGGTGGGGGGAGGTGGCGACCACTGAGGGCGGGCATCCCTGCAGAACAAGGGGGCGGAGGAGAGCACTCTTGGGCTCCCATGGGCGCCTGTGCTTGTCGATGGATTGCCGCGCCCCTACGATGCCACGCCTGTCGCTCCCGTGTGGCCCCGCGGGACAGCGTGCCGCCGGCTGCGCCATGGATCAGCCCAACCCCATGCCTGACACCAGCCCCTATTCCACCTCACTCGCCAACCGCAGGGCGGCGCCGCGGAGCACGTTGCCTCGCTGCTAGATGCCCGGATAAGGGAGGCCCTACATCAGCGCGGCAGCGTGTTTGCCGACGGGGCCGGCGCGGCCGGCGCAGGCTTGGCCGCCAGCCTACACCGCCCCCTGCTGGCGATCTTCGACCGCAACTTTGAGCTGTCGGTCATGCTGCAGCACGCCTGGACCTACAAGCCCCTAGTGCACGATGTGCTGGGCATGCGACTGAACCGCGTGACGCTGGCGGCGCCGGGCGGCGCGCCTGGCGCCGGCACCCACGTCCCCAAGACCTTTGAGGTGGACGACTCCGACTTCTTCTGGTCTGCGCACGGGCGCGAGCAGTTCCCCAAGATCGCAGAGCAGGTGGAGGCGGAGCTGGCGCGGTACCGCGCCGCCGTGGATGAGCTCAACCGCAGCGCGGGGTCAAACGTGCTGGACGCCGCGGCCGACCCCGCGGACCTCATGGCCGGCAACACCAAGCACCTCATGAGCGCCATCAACTCGCTCCCTGGTCGGTGCGGGGGTGGCTGGGGTGGTTGCTTTTGCACTTTGGAGGTGGGGGGCTTTGAGATGTTTTTCCCTGAGTCGCCGCACCACCCCTCGCCGCCGGGACCGATGGCACGGCTCAGGCTCCCCACCGACTGATTCCCTCTCACGACGCAAACTCCAGAGCTGACGGAGCGCAAGCGTTCGATAGACAAGCACACCAACCTGGCAACGCACCTGCTGGGGGCCATCAAGGAGCGGGGCCTGGACCAGTATTATGCGCTGGAGGAGGAACTCACCGCGGGCAAGGAGCACGTGGAAGCAGTGCTCAAACACCTCCAGGTAGAGGGTTGTGGTGGAGGGGAGTGCTGTGGAGGCTCAGCGCTCTGCAGGGACATTGTATTTGGGGAGTTGTTTCTTGTCCATAGGGGGCCGCGGGGCATGGAGGATGCAGCTGGCTGTATGCAGGCAATGGTGCCTGCTGGGCAATGCTGCAACGCACGCCAGTAATTAAAGCACACAGTTGCAATGTCACCCACTCACAGTCTCCTATCGGTCTTGAGACCTCACGACTCTCCACTCCAACCCCTTGTCCGGCTCCCCAGGGCTCGCAAGGCACTGTCACCGATAGGCTGCGCCTGGCCCTGGTCTGGCTGCTCACCTGCCCCACGGCGCCGCTGGAGGCGGAATGCGAGAGGGTGGAGACCGCGCTCGCGGCTGCAGGGGCGGATGTGCGGGCGTGGGCATATGCCCGCCGCATGCGCCGCATGAACCTCACCGGCAAATCACAGGTGGGAGGATTTGTGATTATGAGAGGACGCGTGGGTCAAAGATCTTGTGCTGCGCCTCCGTCGTGGGTGTTGGAGACCGAGGGTGGCGGCGTCCTGGCTTAGGACGCGCTTCAGCCACCACCAGTCGCGCCTGGAAACCGTCGCTGTGCCGTAGCTCTCGAGCTCGCTCACCGACTGTTTCCTCCCCGCCGCCCCTGCAGTCGTCTGCCGCCCTGGCGGACGGCCGTGGCGTGTTTGGAGGCGCCGCCCAGGCGCAGCTTACGACCCTGCTGGGCAGCTCCTTTGGGCAGGGCTTGTCCTCCCTGACCAAGGGCGTGAAGAACCTGCTTGCAGGGGAGCAGCAGGCGGCCGTCACAGTGGCCGTGGAGGCCCTCATGGAGGGCCGGCCCAACCCAGACGTCGATGGGTACGCTTACTTTGACCCCAAGGTGAGCACACAGAGAGGCATGTGGGTTTGTTTTTGGGGGGAGGGGGGGGGGTTGAATGCAGAGGCGCTACTCTTCCACACTACACGCCAAGACAATGGGTCAAACCAAGACCCTGCACTCCCTGCACCAGTATTGCTTTCTCTGCTGACAACTCTTCGTCCCGCCACACCGTGCAGGCCCCCATCGGCTCTGGCCCCAGACCCCAGGGTCCATTCAAGCAGGCCATTGTCTTCATGGTTGGGGGCGGCAACTTCCTCGAGGCTGAGTCTCTGCAATGCTGGGCCAGCAGGTGCGAAGGAGCTCGCCTCCCTTGCTGTGTGCTGTTGTGGAATGTGGGAGTGCGATCTCTACACATCCTGCTGCCATTTGGTGACCTCAACTCTCAGGGCCTCACAGCGCCTGGGGTGCACTTGCACAATCTTTCCCCAACCCTCCTCCGCAATCCATGCAGGGCCCAGCCCACGCCCAAGCACGTGGTGTATGGGGCGACTGAGCTCCTCTCCCCAGAGACAATGTTGGAACAGCTGTCGGCCTTGGCTGTGCGGGGTGGACTCTAGACAGCATCTGCTGCACCACGCGACTGTGTTTGCCTGGGAAGATCGCAGTATCATTGATCTGAAATCTAAGTGGATGCTTGATCCCCGACTGCCGCACGGTCCTGCTGCCACTAGATGAGTAACACTGCTGCTCTGTTCGTAGAGTAGAAAGGCATGGTGCGGACACCTGGTACCGCCATGCAGAGAGGAAGAGACACCAATAGTGCCCCTCGCCTAAGTCAGGGGCCCCAGGAGGGCGACCCCCCTGCGTGCCCACTCCTCGATCTTGCTGCGCTGTACGATGGGGCCCTGAACGCCCAGCTTCTCGGCCAGCGCGCCTGCCACGCGCTGAAGGGCGCGCGGCGCGACGCGCTTTCTCAACCCCACCAGCGCCTCCAGCTGGGCGGGGGTCAGCTGGACCTGGAGCCGCTCCGAGGCCCGGGAGGCCGCCTTCAGGGCCGGATTCCTCAGGCCCGCGATCTCGGCCAACCTGTGCCAAGGCAGGAGAATGTTGGCGGGTGTAGGGAGGGGACTCATCCCGCCAATGCACTGCCAGGAGGGAATCAGCAGCCCCTGTGCCACAAGTTCAAACCACTCGCACCTCTGCTGCGCGCCTTCCAGCAGGATCACCCCCGAGAGTGGGTCCTGGGCCTCCGCGTACGCATCGGCCACCTCAATCACGATCCTGAGGATGACCCCTGCCAGCCCTGCCGCGTCCCGCTCCCATTCCAGGTTCCTGGACAGGATGTCCACCAGCAACAGGAACTCGGGGAGCAGGCCTGCACGAGGGAGCAGGATTTGGCATGGTGAAGGGTAGGCCGGCAAGAAGGCATTTGACAACCTTGCATGAGGTCTCGCCCTCCATCCTCACATCAGTAAATATTGCGCTTGTCAAGCCCTCTACCTGGCCAAACCACTGCCCCCTCGTACGCACATGGATGTCGAGGTGCGCCGATCCACTCCTGCTTCAGGGACACCGCCTGCTCGGCCAGGCGCCGGGCCTGCTCCGTCTCCCCCGGGCCCCCCATGGCCAGAGTGCCGGCGACGTTGGTCAGGGCCCAGATCCTCTCCGCATACGGAACCTGCTTCTGCTGTTCCGCAATGCGGGTGGCCTTAACGGCAGCCTCGTCCACCCAGTCCTCCTCTGGAGATGCCGGGTGGGGAGGGAGGAAGGGGTGGCTCATGCTTGAGGGACCAACACACCCCGTGTCCCTCCGCAAGATGTCGCAAAGTTTGTGTATGGCTCAGGGTGCGCCTTAGTTTGGTCCGCATCACCTCCCCGGCAACGCACCGAGAAGCTGCGCGGCAGCTGCCGCCTGCAGAGCGCGCTCGCGCTCCAGGCGCGCTTTCTTCTGGGCGGGCGACAAGTTGGCCTCCGACATGTGGCCCAGCGCCTCTACGAGCCGGTGCTCGGGCGGGAGCGCCGCTGCCAGGAGGGCGGCGGGGACCTGGGGGCGGGGGTTGGATGACCCCGAATGTCAGTCATTGAGGGGACATGATGGCGCGCAGCAGCAGCCCAGGGCAGCATGCACGTGAACACCTCCTCCCGCCCAGTACCTGCAGCGTGTCGCTGGCTGCGGTCTGCGCCCCGCAGCGCAGCGCCCCGCGCAGCGCCTTCCACGCGGCTTCCTTGTCCTCATCGCCCTCCTGCACCAGCTCCACCATGGCCAGCACCCTGGCCACAGCCAGGGCCAGGCCCACGAATCGTCCGGGCTGACCTGTGAAGCAGGCGTTGAACACCCCGTCCTCCACGCTCTGCAGGTCCTCCGCCGCCAGGGCTAGCTCCTCCTCCGCCAGCAGCGCCAGCGAGGCGCGCAGCGCTTCCGAGTCCTGCGCCCCCAGCGCCTGGACCGCGCGATGCACCGCCAAGCTCGCAGCCCCGGGGTGGTCGGCCGGCAGCGCCCGGATGCCGGCCTTCACGGAGAAGCGGGCGGGGGCTGGCTCCCCGCCCCGCACAAAGGCCTCCACCAGGGGGCGCAGCACGCCCAGCGCGGCGACGCAGGCCTGCAGCGTGCCCAGCGTGACCCACTGCTCTATCAGCGCAGGGTCCACGCCGCTGTGGCCCAGCGGACCGCCTGACCCTGTGGAGGCCTGCAGCCGCAGCGCGCCCAGCGCCCCCTCGGCGGCCTCCCGGTAGCAGCCGGCCAGCCCGGGCACCGCCAGGGTGGGGTCCCCCGCCTCGGCCGCAGCGGCAAAGTCGGCGGTCCAGGGCAGGTCGGACCCGGGGCCGCCCAGGATGCTGCCGCAAGAGGTGGCCACCCTCAGGGTGGCCTCCTGCACCAGCGGGCCACGCATCACCGTTGTCCCCTGTGCAAAAGGGTGGGGTGCCAGCGGTGACGGTCTGAGATCATGCAAATGGCCACGGCTGAAACCTGCGGTGCCGCTGTTCCCCATGCCATGGCAGTGGAAGGCTGCGTTGCAGCCAAGGCTTGATCACCCGAATCTCTGGCTGCAAAGTAACCCCCCTCCATTTCAAGGACTGGTCAACATGCCAACACACCCACCTTGGGCGGGCGCTGGAGCGTGACCTCCCCATCCAGCCTGTAGGCAAACGTTTGCATGGCCCTGCGCAGCCTCTGCCGCTCCTCCGCAGCTTGCCTCTCGGCGGCCTGCGCCGCAGCCAGCTCGGCCGCAGCACGCTCTGCACGCTCCTTAGCCTCCAGCTCCGCAGCAGCCTCAGCCTCCCTGATCAATGATCGTGGATTCGGGCGCGTTGGTCGGGCAGGATGGCAGAAGCAGAGAGCGCCAGAACCAGCCTGCGCTGCGAATGTCTGGCCTACGATCCTCCCCATACATCGCCCACCCCGAACGATGGACTGCACGCAGAAACGCATCCGGCCGCCAGCCCCACACCTCTGAGCCCGGGCGGCTTGCGCGGCGGCTTCAGCGCGCTGCGCGGCGATGGTCGCCCGCTCCGCGGCCTCCCGCTCCACCATCTCGGCCTCGAGCCGGGCCTGTCGCGCGTCGTACTCCTGCCGGGACCTCTCCCTCTCCTCACGCAGCTGGGCTGCCTGCTGCGCAGCGGCACGGCTGTACGCCGCCTGCCGCTCCCTCTCCTCCCTCTCCTCCTGCTGAGCACGCTGCGCAGCCGCAGAGACCCGAGCGGTGTCGGCGGCGGCCGCCTCCTGGGCGACCACCGTCTCCCGCCCGCTGCGCGTCGCCGTGCTGAGTTGGAAGGCGGCCAGCTCCCGAGCCGCTGCCTCCTGAGGCAAGGGGAGCATGATGGTGTTGAGAACGGGCGACACGCTGAATACTCTCCAAAGCAGTTTGATCGTGTGGTCCGCCCTATGCTACATAGGGTATATTCTTATGTCGAGCATCCCTCCAACCCCAAAACATACAACAGCCATGCCTACCCTCAGCCCTCGCGGCGTTGAAACGGACTCCTCGTGCACCGTCCGCGATATGCGAGCAGCCAAGAGGAAGGCGCCTGCCAGGGTCCAAACCCCTGCGTCCCATGCCATCCCAAGGGGCGGCTGGAGGGCAGGATGCTCAGGGACTGGGGCTTGGGGTGGAACAGCCACAAAGCTGTGCACCGGTTCCTGCGCATGGTCCAGAAGTTCCTGCATGAAGGGAGCTTCCTGTGCAGTTTGCACGTGCGTCGGTCATACGCGTGCACCTTCTTTGCTATGGCCCCTCTTCGTGAACCCCCGAGCCCATGCATGCTCCCCAACCTAGAAGCCTACCTGGTGGTCAGCATGGTGCTGGTGAGGGTCTGCGTCATCCAGGGTGCCCTGAAAACTTCTTGCCAGAATATTGGGGCCCCTGAGGAGCCCATTCCTGGGTCCTGTGGCCCCCGAATGGGCGCCGCATGCCCTCTGGCGGAGCGCACCTCCAGCAGGGAGTGGCGCCCAGGTGCAGACACCAGCTTGCTCGAGTACAGGGCGCATGTGACGCTTTATTTAGGAGGCATACATTTTACTGAATGCATGGTGTGAGGAATGGGCGGACGTCATAATAGGATACGGGGATTTTCTTGCTCGCCCCATCGCAAACCATAGGCGAACTATTTAGCGAGCGCGGGGGCCAGCAGCAGCCAGGTGCATGAAAAACTTCTGGGCGACCTCTTTTTCTGTTCGATGCTCCGGTGTCTCTGGCGTTGGTAGAGCGCTATTCTCGATAATCCTCGACGTTTCACTTCCATTTACTGCCTGACTTGGTCGGCATCCCCTAGACAAGCGACGGTCCTCAAGTGATCTGCGCTGGATGGCACAGCCATTTCAGGCTTTCGGGGCCGCCGGCAGCACTTGGGTGCCCACGTCAGTTCCCCAGAATGCACAGCCTTCCGTTTTCGTCCCGCCCCCGGTGCGTACCTGCGGGATCTCGCGACGACAGGGGGGAGTGGGCCGGGCACCCCCGCACCTGTCACCCCTCGCCCCACCGTCTCTTTCAAGCGCAGGCTGCGCATCCCGTGGCAGGGCCGAGCGGGTCACATGCAGTCTTTGACCCATTCGGTGGAGGGAGTCCCTTCCTGACGGGGATGGCGGGTGACGTCCTCAAACAGCAAGGGGAGTCCTACCTACAGCGCGGTCGCCTCTATGTGGTGAGTACGGCTGGCTGGGTTGTTTGAGGCAATACCTAACTGCCCAAGATGGAAGCACAGGCTGACTGGAAAGCCATGCTGCCTGAGTGCCTGGACCTGAAGGTTCACAGGATTGTTCTGCCCTCACATGTCTGTCGCAGTCCAACCTTGGCTTCCTCTCCGGTGGGACCATGCACTACCACTTTAGCATCACCCCCGGCTATGGTGCGTTGATGGAATGGGCCTGTTCCATGCAAGGAGAGAGTCCTTCATTGTCCCCTGCAGACGTTCGTTACACAGCAGGAGGGTGCTGTCCCGTCCTTCATGTTGAGGAATCCATTCCCTCATGTGGCCCCCTTGCCGCTTCACTCCGTCTCCTCACACGCTCTCCCCTCACTCCACCCTGCCCCTGTCGCAGTACAGCGCAAACTGCTCATGCTGCTGGCTCCCTTCCTGCGGCGCTGGACCTACGCACGCAGCCCGGAGCACATCTCCGGTGGCCACAAGTACCTCCCTCCCCGCCAGGTGAGCACTTGGGGGTTGCAGGAAGGGTGGCTGATTTTGCTAGGGCTGCGTCCCCCCCCCCCCCCCCTGCCCAGCTGGCGTCGCAGCAGGCCTGAAAGGGTGTCGAATCCGATCCAGGTTCTCCACTGAAGGGCCGCATCTTCGACGACCAGTTCCCCTCTGCCTGCCCCCAAACACCACCACACCCAGGACGTGAATGCGCCCGACCTTTACATCCCCTTCATGGCGCTGTGGACGTACTGCATGCTGGTCGGCATCGGCCTGCTGGCCCGCGGCGGCTTCCGACCCGAGGCGGTGTACAACGCCGTGACCTCCGCTCTGGTGGCCTGGGGCCTGCACACCCTGGTCCTACGCGCCATGCTGTGGTCGCTGGGCGCTGGGGCCGCGGCTCCCGCCCTGGAGCTGGCCGCGTACGCGGGGTACCCCTGGGTGGGGGCCTGCGCCACGCTGGCTGCCACCCTGCTGCGGAACCGCGTCGCCTACCACGTGGTCTGGGTGTACGCCTCCTTCGCCGCCGCGGTGTTCCTGGTGCGCACCATGAAGCGCGTCATCCTGCAGGTGTGAGAGAGAGGGCTTGTTTTTTTGGGGGGGGGGGGGGGGACAGGTGTGGGTGCTCGTGCTGGCCGAGCATGGTGAGAAGAGTCGAGTTCCATGCTGCAGCTGAGGAATCAACCGATAGCGTCATCTTTTTAAGAACCTCCACCACCCTTCTCCCACTTCCCACTGCACCCCCCGTAGGAGTCGCGGACGTACAACCCCGACTCCAAGACGCACAACTACGTGCTGCTGGGGCTGGGTCTCCTGCAGTTCCCACTCATGGCTTGGCTGGGACGATTGCCGCGTGCCTGAACCCCCGCGCGAGGAATTCTAGTGCAGTGCAGTCAGTGAAACGGGGAGGTGAAGCGCTATGGCGCCAGATGCCCAGGATTTTGGGGTTGCAATCTCACAGAATCAGGGCTGGGTGCTTGTCATGACGAGCAAGCCCTGCAGGCACGGCGAGGTTGGGGTACATGGACGCCAACATGGACACGGGATGCCCGTATCAGGAAGCACTTGAAAAACAAACAGGGGAGGAAGGGCATGGGGTGCCTAGACCATGCTGGTGAGGCAGTTTTGGATGCAGCAGGAGTCTGACACACACACAGCTTTGCACACTGGCCCTGCACAAGAGCAAGCAGGGCAATAGGATCAACTATCGCGGGCGTCATGCCGGGCCAGCCTGGGCGGCCTGCTTCCAGGCAGCCACCCAGGCGCAGATCCGGTCGACGTTGGACTCCATCTCGGGCACGGTGTTGCTGGGCAGCACCTGAACGATGTCCTGCCGGTATGATTCCAGCGCCTCTTCCACGATGACATGCATGATCTCGCACTGCACATTCTCCTGGATCTTGTTCAGCCCGTACTTCCTGCGATGAGGCAAAAGGAGGGGGGTGCAGGGAGAGGAATGACGGTCGCGACACGAATCACTGTGCCAAAAAGGATCTGTAGGTAATCAACACCCCCATCTGTGCCTGCCTTGTTCACGACCACGACAATGGGCACCCACCGTTTTTCTAGCCGCTCCCAAAGGATGGTGTTGTCGGCCTGCAGGACAACCACGAGGTCAAACCAGCGTTCCGGGAAGAAGTCGCATCCGTGGTGATCCACGATGTTGGCACCCGCCGTCATGATGTCCTCCAGTGCGTCGCACACCTGGGAGGGAGTTGGGTGGGGAGGCCGAGTGTCGGAGAGGGAGAGGCGGTCGACATCCCCGACACCGCCCACCAATTGCGGCTCCTTCCCTTCTATCGAGTCCAAACCACAATTCTCACCTTGTCCTCGTCGATGACATGGCAGTCGAACTCTTCGTCCCATCCCGAATGCAGCTCCTGCTCCTTCACCAGGGCGCCGACGTTCAGGTGGCGCAGGCCGGTGGCGCCGGCCACAAGCTCCGCTGTGGTGGTCTTCCCTGTCCCAGGAGTGCCTGTTATGAGGATATTGGGCCCGGCGCGGCTGCCTGTCATCCGACGGCGTCTTCTGGGGGGGGCGCAGGCAAAGACAGCGTCGACAATATGTAGATTGCTCACGTCTATCTTTCCACGCCTCTCGACACTTTGTGTTTAATCCTTCTCAACACTCGTGCTTAAATCAGTGTAATGGCCTGCACTGTCCCGCGGTCTTCATCCATAGCTTTTCAGCATGCAAGCCCCACCCGGGAGAGCGCGAGCGCGCGCTCGTCGGCCGCTCCAGGGTGAGGAGGCACATGCAGGGACGACCCAAGGTGCCCTCCAGGCTCCAATTGAGCAGGAGCGGGATGGCCGAGGTCCAAAAGGGGCCCAGATTCTTCGACAAGTGTCCAGCTTGTCAAGCCATGACGGCCTGCTTCTCCTCCTGGCCCTCGCCCTCCTCCTCTGGCTCCGGGTCCTTCCACCGCCCATGCTCCTACAGGTAGGAGGGACGTCACAGTGCGTGTGAGATTCTATGCGTGTACTTGTGCGGCCGAGTCGCTGATGGCAGGGCCCATGGGCTTGAACAAACATGCTGATGATGTGCACGAAACAATCGCACAGTCGCAGGCGGCCCATTTAAGGCTCTGCGAGGGCGTCAGCCGGGTATCACAGCGTTGGGCCCCAGTGCGGCATTACATCAAACCGCCTCACCTTGATGAGCTCCACGAGCTGGTCACAGGCGGACTCCATGGGGATGGCTCTCCTGACAACCTCCTTGCCCACATACAGGTCGATCTTCCCGGGGGCACCGCCAACATACCTGCGCAGCACAGTGAAGGTTGGGTATCCATTTTACTACTGAACCACAGTCATTCGAGGCCAGACACACGGGAAAATAATTCGTCAGTAATCCAATGGCACACATGCAGATGCTGCACCTAGAGCCATTTGCAAGACCCCTGTCCCAGAGGCATCACGCACCCAAAGTCAGCGTCTGCCATCTCCCCAGGACCGTTCACAATGCAGCCCATGATGGCAATGGCCACGCCTGGCAGAGTGAGGGGGTGGAGTGGTCTAGTTGGCTCGTGACCAGGCCGGGGGATAACAGCACACTCGCTTCTCCTCCTCGCAAAGCAAATCAGCAAAACTCGCTTGCTCCACACCGGAGCGCAACCACTCAAACCCACCGGGCAGGTGCCCCGTCTTCTGCCGGATCTGGTCTGTCACCTCCTGCAGGTCAAACAGGGTGCGACCACAGGAGGGGCAGGACACGTAGTCGGTCTTGGTGTTGCGCATCCTCACCCCCTGTGGAGGGGCGCATGGGGGATTAAAGTCGGGGCGGTCAGGTCACCCGGCATGCCCAGGGCGAGTGTCTGTGAGCCCTGATCAGGGTGCGGCGGGGTGCTTGCCGGGAAGGTCAAGGGGTCGCATCATGCCGCCAACTCGGTGTGTGTCCAGGAGAGGGGTGCTGCCGCATGACGAGACAAGGTGTGATGGCCCCCAAGAGGGTTGCAAACCCAGATTCTGAGCCTCATCCAGGCCCTCCAAGGCCGCACCCCACCAGCCTCACACTCCAAACTGCGCCCTGCTCGGCCCCTGCGCTCCCAGACCCCAACAGCCCACCCCCCCCCCGCCTTCACTCCCGAAACCAACCCTCACGCACCTGGAGCAGGCCAAAGGAGGTGGTCCTGAGGTAGGCCAGGTCCTGGCCCGGCGCCGACAGCATGACGCCGTCGCCGCGCCCGTCCACCATGAGCGCGCCCACCAGCGCGCCGGCGGAGAGCACCAGCTCCTCGCGTCCCGTGCCCGGTGCAAACTCCAGCGCATGCACGACGGGGAGGTGGCAGCGCGCGCGCGTCAGCGCCTCAAACACCCGACGCGAGGCGTGCACACGCGACACGCCGGGCGCGACGCGCAGCAGGACCAGCGTCGCGTCCAGCCCGCCCGCGGCCTCGACGTCCGCGTCGGGCTCGGTGCCATCCACGGCCAGCGCCAGGCGCACTGCCCCCGCCGGCAGCGGCGAGCGGCCTTCGGCACGGGCGGCCAGGGCGGCCGCGAGCGAGATCACGGCCACGGAGTCAGGGAGGGGGGAGGCGGCCAGCGCCGACGGCCTCCGCCAGCACGTGAACTCCCACCTGAGGGGGGCCGGTGAGATGATGGGAAGGCGTTGGATGGCGTGGGGAGGAAGGGCGTCAATGTGCCCAGGGCATGAGGGGACGAGGCGCAACGATGGTCGCGAGGGGGGGACCATGCAGGCAGCGACCTCGATTCCCCACCCAGGCACTCGCTCATTGCCCCACCCATGCCTTGATTCTTCCCACCCCCCCACCCTTCGCCCCTCACCTCTTGCAAGCGGCGCAGGGCGCGCCTGGCCTGGGCATCATCCTCGGCGGGGACCTCCCTCAGGAAGATGGAGTCGGAGGTGGCAATGTCCTGAGGAGTTGGGACGTGTATGATTGGATGGGTGGGAGGGGGCATCCAGAGGGTGCTGCAAAAGCCACGGGGACACCTGCACAGCTGTGCTTCAGTCCCACTCCTGCGGCAAGGCACGCGAGTGCCCCTGGTCACACGCGCACACGCCCAGCAAGATGCCCCACCTGCCTCGACTCCCCCACCGACCTTGAAGGGCATGCCCACGGCCATTTTGCACCCCAGGTTGCGGTATGTCGTCCTGCGGGTGGGTTCGGGCAAGAGCGTGGATGCGCGGCACGACCCGAGTCCTGCTGCTGCAGTCAGGCCCCCCAGATACATGGATGAAGGTGCGCTTGTCGTGGCCACCTTCACGGCGCACATCGATCCCTGACCAGCGCAGGGAACAGCTTGCCCAAGAGGACCACTCCCCTCCCCATGCTCACTCTGGCGTGCGCAGGTCTTCGAGGGACAGGGAGGAAATCACGGAGCCGTCCCTGTGCAGGATGGAGCGCATGTCCAGTACGTCGCCCTCCTTCTGCCCCGGCAGCTCCCCAACCCTGGGATTTACAGTGTGCAGAGGGCGAGGGTGAGTGGACGACGGTTGGCCTGGCCAGGCGCTCAGTGGCTTCCCAGAACAGAACCTAGGTCCCAGAAGAGTCTGTAAACCTGCTGGCACATGGGCAGGCCTCCTCCTCGTTTCCTTGCTTATGAAGATTCCCTCCCCGCCCTGAATCCTAACACCACCCCTCTTCCCCCGAAACACGTAGCCAACCCAGCCATGAGCGCTCGCCTGCGGTTGAAGAGGTGGGTGTCGCGGTGCTCCTCAAAAGGCTCCACACCCCACCGCTCCGTTTGGGCGCGGCTGCCGAGGGCGGCCAAGGCGCCGCAGGGCACGATCTCGAACTCGGGGTCCTCGGTCAGGGAGACGCGGATGGTGTCCCCCAGCCCATCCATGAGCAGGGCGCCGATGCCGATAGCGCTCTTCATCCGGCCGTCCTCACCCTCGCCTGGGTTCGAAGGGGTAGGGTTTGGGAGCGAAATGTTGTGCATGGAGTACAAGAGATATTGAGCTGTCGGACGGGAGGTTCAGCCACCCTTCAAGTACAGGCGCTAAGACACTGGCAACATGCCTGGGGTGCTGAGTGCTGGACAACCAGGTTCAACCATCTGGGGGCACATTGCACACCCCTCCAGTGCACCAGCACTCCAGAGCCACTGCAGTGCTGGGCTGGAACCTCACGTTTACCACTTCTTCTTCCCCAGCACCACCACCAACTCATACACCCCCCCCAAAAAAACCACACACACACGCATATGTACCTGCTTCCGTGACCCCCAGATGCAGGGGGTAGTCCCAGCCCTTGGCATACATCTCCTCCGACAGCAGGCGGTAGGCCTGCACCATGACCAGCGGGTTGCTGGCCTTCATGGAGAAGAGGAAGTTGTGGTAGTCGGCGTCGCGGCACATGTCGGCAAACTCAAAGGCCGACTCCACCATGCCACGGGGGGTGTCGCCGTAGTAGGACAGGATGCGGGCGGAGAGGGAGCCGTGGTTGGTGCCGATGCGCATGGCCCGCCCCAGGGCCTTGCACTTCTCCACCAGGGGCATGAAGGTCTCGCGGAAGGACTCACGCTCACGCGCAAACTGGGCGGGGTCGTCGTAGTTGATCTCCTCGAAGGATTTGCGCCCGTCGGCAAAGTTGCCAGGGTTGATGCGGATCTTCTCAAAGGCGTCGGCCACCATCATCGCCACGGTGGGCTGGAAGTGGATGTCGGCCACCAATGGGGTGTCGTACCTGGCAGAGTGGTTGAGATCAGGGGGCATTACAGGGTGTTTGCTCTAGGTGGAACTGGGCAAGGCACAAGGAAATGGGGAGTATAAATCCGGCAGCAGAAGGTATTGTGGGGATGGACCCAGAGATCTTGAGCAAGTTTCCACATATATCTACCACATATCTAGTATACACTGGCGCCACTCCCCGCTGTTGTCCTCCAGGCCTGAGCTCCCCCACTTCCCCCCCCTGTAACCCCCCCAAAATCACGCACGGCGCCCACCTGTCCTGGAAGAGCCGGTCGCGGATCTTCAGGCAGGCGGTGGCCTCGCGCTTTCCTTGCACGGTGATCCGCACGATGTCCGCGCCCGCATCGGCGCACTTCTTCACCTGCACCAGCGTCGGAGGCAGAGGAGGGTGATGCAAGGGGGTGGAGAGCCTGCACACACTCATGGGACCCTCGTCCCTGTGCTCTCGCCGCGCCAAGGACCTGCCCCTCCCTCCAGGGCGCAGGCCCACACCCTGGCACTTCCACGCACCTGCTCAACAGTGGCCTCCACGTCCCTGGTGTCGGTGGTGGTCATGGTCTGACGCGCCAAGGGGTGCTCGCTGCCCACGGGGACCTTGCCCACCTGCGTGGGTTGGACCGGGACCGTGGAGGCAGGGAGCATGCAGGATGTGATACACATGGACACTCTCCCCTGGAAGCTGGAGTGCACAGCCCAATATCGTAGCCATGCCCCCCATCTCGACAACACTGGAGGCACGTGACGCACGTAGATGGTCCGGGTCGGGCGACGGCGAGTCTGGTAGATGCTCTCACAGTAGTGGGGGGTGGGCAGCCAGAGCTCCTTCTCGGCACTCGCGGCGGAGGGCTGTGCGGCCACGGCCTGCACGCAGGCACGAGTGGAGTGGAGTATGCCAGGTTATGACAATGTGGTCGGAGTCCCAGATCAGGCATGCCGCAGCTGCCCGCGCGGACAATGCAGGGATGCGCACCTGGGGCCTGACCGTCCTGCGCCCGTTCCGCTGCCCGCGTGCCACATGCCGCCTGAAGGGTGATCCGCCCACGGCATGGGATGAGGCTAAGGTGGAATGCATGCTGGACAGCATCCTGTCCTGCGCTAGGCCACCGCGAGGGGGTGGACGGCGGTGCCCAAGGCGCTGGGAGACTGGCGAGGCGCCCCCGAGTGCGTGAACGCCGTGGAATCTGATTGCGAATATAAGTTGAAGCGGGTTCGGGGTTTGAGGCTGTCTCCTGACCCTGCCATGCCTTGTCGTGGCTTTTCGGGGGATGATTTTCCGAAAATCATCGAGGGGATGGGTCAGCCTCCACGTGGCCTCCCAGTTTGATCTCAGTTCCTCCCTCGCAGTTACAGGGCCCTTTCCGTCCGGGGCAGGCAGGTGGCGTGGCGTTGGCATGCACGACCTGATCCGACCCTCAGGACGGAATGTACTCAAAGGGCGCCGGCGGTTGCGGCTCCTCCGCAGCGCTCGGCACGGCGGGCGCCTGGGCGGGCGGCGCAGCGCCCCTCGCGGCGGGGCCGGCGCTGGCGGCCCCCGCTGCGGCTTCCTGGAACAGGTACTCTGCAGGCCCTTCTCCAGGCCGGACGTCCTGCAGCACCACAATGCCTGTCGGGAAGGATGTTCTTCGAGGGTGAGTTCAGCCAAACTTGTTTACACCAGCACTCCGGGGCAGTTCCCCCTCAGTCTGCACAGCCCAAAGCTCGTTCGCCCGCTCCCCCCGCGCCGCCAGGATGCATGCCGGCCTTCCCCCTGCCCCCCTATGCCGACAAACACACACCTCCCGTCACGGCCTTGACCGGCTGCCAGCGCTGGTCCCGCTCGAAGGCCACGAAGCGGCGCTGTGCAGGCACCACGCGCGCCGGGTTGCTCAGCACGTAACTGGAGGGCTCCGCGGGCGTCGGGGGTTGCGCAGGCGCCGCCTCCTCGCCACCATCCGCTGCCTCCCCCGCCTCGCCGCCCTTCCCCGCCTCGCCGCCCTTTCCCGCCTCGCCGCCTGCCTGCGCCGCCTCGCCGCCCTCCGTCTGCATGGCCTCAGGGTCAGAGGTCGTGGGGACCAGGGCCCCCATCTCCTTGCCCTGCTCCTCCTTCTTGGCGGCCGCACGGGCCTTGGAGCGCACCGTCGTGGAAAGCACGGCGGTTGGGACCTGTGAGGGGGTGATCGTGGGCGTGGTGAGGACGAGCATCGAGCAGGAGCGTGGTCGCAGATCAGGATCACGCTCTGTAACTGTGGCAAAGGGCAGCGGACGTTTGGCAGGAGGAGCGGTGGGGATGACAACTTTCCATTCCGAACCCCGATGCAGGCGTGGCCAGCAAATGCCACCCACACAGCAAGTCCCCCACCTTCTCCTTGCTGCGCTTGTCCTCCATGGCGACGGGGGGTGGGTAGGCGAACAGCGAGGGCTTGCATCGGCTGATCACCTGTGGCAGCGCCGTGAGGGGAGGTGCATGGATGGGTGCGTGCTGGTGTTGCTGGGGCTGTGCCACCCTCCATGTGCCCGGGAATGTAAGAGATTTGCAGCTTGTCTCTGCCTGTCATAGACCAGTATGTTTTGGGGCGGGCAACGAGGCTCTTCCCCAAACCCATCGCCCATCTGCGCATGGAGCATGCAGCTTGCCGTGTCCCACCCGCGCTGACCAGGCATTGGCCCACACAGCATGCTACCACCCCTCCTCTCCAACCCCAACACCGCAACCACGAGGCCCACCTTGAAGTCGGCGGGGGCACGCAGGCTGGCATCCACGCCGATGATGGCGGTGGGCTGCAGCGCCAGGGACAGGCTGTACGCCAGCGGGTGCCAGTACCAGTACTGCAGGAACAGGGCCAGGCCCACCACCGCAGTGCGGCGGTACGGTCCCGTGCGCGACTGCAGGCCCAGGGTCGCGTTGCGGCCGCCCGCGTCCAGGATGCCGGCGGCCATGATGGCGCCCATGCGCACCATGATCTGCCGTGAGGGGGTGAAGGGGTGAGGGGGGGTTCTCAAGCATGTGCAAGACAGTGATCGTATGTTGCTTGGAGTTGGTGGTACCGGCTGGCCGTGCGAGCGCATGCCTGGCACAGCACAGGCGAGATGCTTTCGCCCGGTGGGCCTCCATGTGTGACACGGGGTCACCCTGCGTCGCACACGTGGATCATCCCTTGCACGCCAGCGCACCCAGGCACAGCACCCTCCTTGCGAGCGCATGCCCTTGGGGTCCCAACCGAACCCCACCGCCCCTCACCTCCACGCCCTTGTTCCCATGCAGCTTGTCGATCTTAGCGCGCAGGGTCTCGGTCTTGGAGGCCGGCTGTTCCATGAGCACCATGGCCAGCGCGATGAGTGCGCCCTGCGGGTGGAAAGTGGGGAGAATGCTGCTGAAGCAGGCAGGCACGGTGCCGCGACGCCCTCGACACCAGGTTGCTGAGGATCAGCGAGGGCTGGGGACGGAGTGTCAGGGGGCCGTTGGTTGCCATCCCCTCATCCTCCAGACCACACTCGTCGACAGCTCAGGGCAGTGGCCAAAGAGGACCGGGTGTGGTGATGGAAGGCTTGTATAACGTATGGACTCCAGGGCTGGGGACTGCCACTGCCCAGGCTCCCTCCCAGGAGTGACAACCTGATGCTGCAGGCCATGCTGCATGCAGAGATTCCGAGCCCGGCACCCCCTCCCACCCCCCCCCCCCCCCCACCT